CCCACAAACACTGTGCCTGCTTCTTGATGGAACATTAAAATTGTTCTTGTGCCTAAATCATCAAGTGGATCAACTGTTAACCTTAAACCTATTGCCGTTTTTTCATTCCTTTGCGTTCCCAGTGGAACAAAGGGCGTCAAAGGCTAGAGGTTCGAAGTTTCGGTATCAGTGGTGTTTATTTTTACGAGATAGGGTTGTTGCTAGCCTCATGCCCGACCCTTCCTCTTTACCAGTCTTATAACTGGCTTACCGAGGTAAAGAAGCGTGTCGGGCGGGGACAGAACCCCGGACCACCTCCGTGGTTGGTGAGCATTCTGACTCTGTGCCACCAGCGCCCTATTGCGATTACTTAACCTTTTTTGGAAAGAATGGAAAAACTGCTTTTACTTAACCTTGAACCTTCATTGAAGGCTTTTAATGACCTAAATATTTTGCTTGTAAACACTGTCGTCTTATATCACATAATGTTGTCTCTAATTTAGACAGAGGTACCAAATATGTTCGGTGTGCCTTCCTTGATTACACAATTGCCTTTGACTCTGTACTTAGGCCTCTTAGACTAAACAAGCTCGCTGCGACACAAACACGGTGCTGGACTAATAAGTGGTTGCATTCCTATTTTTCTGGTAGAAAACCGTACACTGTTTACAATGGGAAGTGCTCCACTGCTTCACTTACTCTAGCTGGTGTTTCCCAAGGAGCTGTTCTTTCTCCATTTCTGTTCTTTTTTCTTACATGAATGGCTCCAATCTGATGAAGCCAATTTTGTTAAGTATGCCTATAGTCTGACTGTTTCTATGCCTGTTACTTCTCACTCAGACTGTTCCAAAACGAATAACTTCTTGCCGGAGATTCTTCAGTGGTCCTTTAAAAGGGGCCTTAAGCTAAATCACTTCAAATGTCAGGTTGTTAACTTCACCTTCAGAAACAAGCGTGACCTACATGAACTGGTTCATTCGCATGATTCTATTATCATAGACAGCACTGAAGTTGAAACTAAGTGGAATGTTAAATACCTCGGATTATCTGTTTCCTCTGATCTTTCTTAGTGTTCCCAACAGATTTATTTTATATTCAAATTCTTATTAAACAATATTATCAATGTTAATGCCCCACTTTAATTATTACTCCTGCAATGAGAGAGATGCAATACAGCTACTATACGCTGGAAATCCCACAATTTGTACCAAGAAAATACTGTTTGGAATAAAGTTATTACAAATATCATGGAGAAATAAAGAATTATTTCTAAGCTGAAACTGTAGACCATGGTGAGAGAGAAAGATACTGGACAGATTAGGTTGAAAGCGATTTATGGAACAACTTCCCCTCACTAATATTTAGCAGTTGAACGTGGACACACCTCGAGGACGAAAGCTGTGACCTTCTAAAAAACTGTGAAAGCTTAATTTTTAACACTACGGTATACACCCTGTCTATTAGGCGCTGCAGTGTAGATTTCCTGACAGATATTACTGTTCTTTTTTGACAGTGCGAAAGAATGCAACGATGAGCTTTCCGAAACGTCTTAGCTACGCATTCTGTCTGTCTGTCTGTTTTCGACATAGAACTTTGCACAAATGTGCGGAAGTTCAAGTCGCCACATTCCGTGTAGCACGCGAAGCAAGAGAATAAAGTACAAGAAAAGCATAATAGAAACAGTGAGCAGAGGTGTGAGACAAAGGAGTAATAAAGAAATACAAAACAGTTTCATTGGAGATCATAAGTTACAAGGGGTGGATGCATCTGCGCTAGCCAGCCAATGAGAACGATTTTGAGCCATGTCACCAATTGTTTCCAACCATAGATTTTTACCGTCCCGAGGACCCCAACCAGTCAGGAAGTCTACACCTTCCTACGTGGCTTAGACCAACTGTTGTGGATTTCATTGACTGGTGAGGCCATGTTTTTGTTTGACCGCCGCTAGCTTTTTTCCAGCCTGACCCTATATCCGCTAACATTGCTCGTCGAGGGAGGCGATGACTAGGCATGCATGCGTAACACATGTCCTAACCATCTCAGTCTTTGTAGCTTCACGACTTCGTCGATTGATTTCCCCTGTTTACCTAGAACTCGACGCCTAACCTCCATGTTGCTCACCTTATTATGCCACTTTACACGGGAAATAGAACGCAGGCACCTATGATCAAAGACAGCTAGTCTTTTCATGTCTTCCACTCTCAGTGGCCAGGTCTCACAACCATTCACAACGCATTCACACTTTGTGATTTTTCATATTCCAGAAAACTATTGTTCTTCCACATTACTGTTATTTTTTCCTTGCAACACTTCTGTTTATTATCTCTCGTTTGAATCTCTCTCCTTACTCTCTTCTTTTATTTTGTGTGCTACACGGAGGATGGTAATTCGAACTGTTAAGCATCCGTGCACAGTCCTATGCTGAAACTAGTCAGTCATGCAACTACCTCCAAAAGGGCAATGTTTTAGATTATTTTCTCTAGTCTAGTAACTGAAAAGTATAAAGCTCATTCATTGATTGTTCACTTTAAAGTAACAAAAACATTAAGTCATCGTTGTTTTATACTATAACTATTATTCCATTGGGTTCTGAATGGAATACATCGGGCTTCAACAACACACCACTTTATCCTCTTCTCTGCAGTTCTTTTTAGCTGATTCCACATCATCTCCGTGCAACAAATGAACCCATGCCGAACTCTTCGTTCCGCATTTGGGTTCCACTCGACGGAGGCCTAAGCGTGTGTCCAATCCATCTCTGCACTTTCTTCTGCATATGTGTGGGGTGATAGGTTCTTGGTTGGTTAGTTGCCTGGTGGAGTTCCTTAATGTTAATCCTTTCTGGCAGGCAATCTGATCTTCAGTATGGAGCCAGAGAAGACCGCCGTTGATAAAAATGTGTGCAGCAGTTTGTCGGAAATACTTTTTGTGACGCGTGCTCCAAGCCTCTGAACCATATAAAAGCACCAACTGACTTAACATTATATGTAGTAAACGAATTTAGTTAATCAAGCTTATATAATTGTCACTGAGTTAGGGAAGCTTTTATTGCTCTTGTATTCTATTACAATAGCAGAACTAACTATGCTGTATCGATTTACTTACTATCTTCCGTTTTGTCCACTAATGCGTATACATATTGCGACAGGAAAGAGGTATACATCAAAGCAGCTTGAATCGATATAAGCAACTATTGTATTTCCTTCCCCTTTTTTCTCTCATTCTTCGCTTCTAACATACACATGCATAAAAACGAGCATACACATAAATGAAAAATATACAAGTTCCAGCATTCTAACATAAATACATTTATTTAGATTACGGGATTTGGATTAACTTCATCTGTTAGATTGCTTCACGAACTCACATCAGTTAGACAGATTATTGAAAACGAGGGAGTGCTAGATAGCACTTTCCTCCTAGTTTTAAACTATTCAGCAATAAGCGCGCACGACCCTGCTAGGCATCAAACCCGGGACCTTCACGTTAGGAGATCAAGCTCGTTGACCATTCAAACATTCGGGCAGGAGTTCAGTGACTTATGAATTCTTTGTCAATTTGTGGTATAGCCCTACCATCAACCAGCACCTTCAGTGGGTATCCATTTCACCGTGATATGGTGGACGCCACTGGTTACGACTTCTAACTACAGCTTTAGGACATCCATCCCATGGGCCATGAATGAAGCTGCAGATTGCCACATTTAGGTTATTGGATTTAGGGGTTGTGGACAGATAACGTCTAATTGAATTCCGGCCCAAATAGCTGAATGGTCAGTAGCCTTGGTTTCGTAGCCTGAAAATCTTAGGTTTGATTTGTGGGTGTGGACTGCTGAAGCGTCCCGAAATAAGACGAAGCAGCTGTCCAGTACTCCATCATCTTCAATGGTTCTGCATCTGAAGTCAGTCCGTGATCATTGATAAAGTCAGTTAGATCCCCACAAACAAACACTTCAAAGTAAATGGATTTTATTAACCAAATTTAGACTCGTTGTAACTGTAAGACTTTAGTTCACGCTCAGTCTAAATAACATAACCAATCACCCCTCAGTGACCGATGGATGTATCTCATCCAGCTTTACATAAGGTCATTCGTAGCCCAACAAAAAACCTAAGCCAAGGACCCCCTGTAAACTTCACCTAAAGAAAAGAAAGTACAGCTTTTAAGTGTGCAGTGTATTGCTTAGTCTTTCAGACTGTCCATCCAAGGGCATCACCCAAACACGCAACCATAAAAATCTATAGGCCAACAATTTTTCTTTCCTTCACGTTCCCAGTGGAACATAGGGCTTCAAGCTAGAGGCTTGAAGATTCCGTAGCAGTGTTGATTTTTACAGGATGGGGTTGCTGGCTAGCCTCAAGCCCAACCTTTCCTCTTTACTAGTCTCACTACTGACTTACCAATGTACAGGTAGGCCAACAATAAATAAAAGAAATTAGAGTTAGTTTCAACTCCCAGGACAAAATTCGAAGTTAAATGACTTCATCAGTAACTGCGGCTTTGTGGAGGAGTGCAACCCACTGATGAAACACTTATGATGAAATATCATGACCTGGAAATTCTTAAACAGTTATCATTTTCATACTAATAGTGTTGTCCGACCGACAGCTGTTATCTTGATGTGGTAGTTGGGCTTGAATATCGTAATGACTCAAAAAGCTACATTGGCTGGATACCAGTCGACTAAAAGCTGTTACCATAATAGTTTAAGTCATTTACACTATGCTGGAGGTTTGTGAGCAAATTCGTACAGCTGGCGAATAGGCAGGTAACAACAAGAAATCAACTCCCATAGTGTAGGCAGCTTGGAAGTAGTTACTGCTCATACACATGCTTCCATATATACAGGAAGCTTACCTGACCATAACCCACTTAAGCAGTCACCTCAACAAACATACATAGTTGAGTCAGATGCGACACTAAACGACAATCACATAATTAATAACAACTAGCTGGGACAATAATAAGCTGTAGGGAAAAAGGCTATACATAATAATAATAAAAAATCAAGGAATACTTACGTCATAAGTGATGCTTCATAAGTTATAGCTAGTTTGGAAGCAGTCTTTTTATAGATTTTCACCGCCACTTGTCGACCATTATAATTAGCTTTAAGAACTTCTGTAGCATATAAGAAAGGTGAAAAAACAGAGCATGATTTTTGAACTATATTGTTCAATTAAAACATTTGAAAAAGCTGAACAAATTCATTCTACAGAGTAAAAAACCTGATATTTTACTTACTTAACCGATGACACCCATTTTAATAAGATCCCTTTGTTGAGATTCAAGTTGAAACGAAGTCGAATAAAGGGAAAAGAAACTGATTAGTTTATAATCAGACCACATTTAGTATGGCCTCAGTTCCACGACTGACAACGACTTGATATCAGTTAGAGAACCATTGAAATTCAATGAGCACTGGACAACTATTTCAACCTAGTCTGAGAGACTTTAGTAGAACACCCTTATGGCCAGGATTTTCACTAGTGATTGACTACAGGATGAAGCTTCCTGAAGTTCTAGTGAGAAGTCAAGACCAGTGGGGTCCACCAGATCGGGTGTCAAAACAAATACTCGCCAATGACACTGGCTGGCAGTGGTGCTGCAAAATGAGAAATGACAGAAGCTAAAATTCACGTGATGGTCTTTGTATTCTATCTCAGCAGCTGAATGGTCAACGACAACACCTCGTAACCTGAAGGCCCTGGGTTTGATCCTTGGTGGGTGGGGTCATGGGCGCATACTGCTGAGGAGCCCGAAACTACGATGAAACAACTGACCAGTGCCTACTAGTTCTCAATAGTTCCTTAACTTTTATCAGTCCATGACCAAACCCAAACATGAATGTCAAATGTAATCATCCCAACCCCAACAAGGTATCAGCCAACAAACACTGATTTTAAACAAAACTTTGATCTCTCAGTTCATACAAGCTAAGAGTGAAGGTGGGTGACTATATTGGGAATCTGTAAAATAACAAAACATCCACTATACGAAATGAACTTCGGTAATTCAGTGGTGTCATATACACCACATGACTCGGTGACCCAATGTAAGATTTCACTTTTACGAAATCCTAAAAAAGGCGAACTTGTGAATGTTCTCCGGTGATTGTTAACCTAATATGGTGACTTTCTTTCAATCAAATAATTCAGACTTGAAATGATTCATCTCTACTCTTAAAATCAACAGATTATGCATAAGGCTAAATGTTATATCAGTACAGCACGATAGTTACTAATTCAAATTCTTATTTATGTCGAAGACTGATGTTGTTTAGCTCACTTTTACAACAACAAAAAGGGGACTCTCTTCGGAAACCAATCAGACAGGTTGATTTTAGTAATCGAACCTCTCTTCATTTTTTTTAAATGAGTGGGAACTGGAGCTTCAAGCTGTTCAACTTCGCATTTTCAGTAGCAGTCGTTTAGTTTTTACGGAGTGGAGCCGGTAGCCTCGCGCCCAACCTTCCCTCTCTACCGAGCTTACTAACGGCTACGCGAGCTTCAGAGGTGGGCTGACCGGGAATCGAAACTGAACCACCGAACAATCGACAGGATAATATAATGTGTCAAACAAATCATTATCTCTTAGGCGATAATACGATCAGACTCAAAAAATGTGGACACTAGAATAAAGTACATATGAGCACATCATCCTGTCAACAACAACAACTAAGACTAAACAGTTAAATTAGCTACCATCCAACTACTATGTCTATGAGTTTCAACATAGAACTTTGCGCAGAAATGTAGCATTTGAAATTGCCGAACTCAGTGTAGCATACAAGCGTAGAGAAAAGGGAAATGCAAAAGAACTGTAGCAAGCAGAAATGTGAGGAAGAAAGAATGAATAGTAACATGGAAAAATGCACCAATGCACTCCTATCAACCTCGCTTATCTTGTAGTGAGTCCGATTTAGAAGAAAGACTGGACATGAGTCTACCAATCTCACAACATGAAAAAGACACCCCTGCTACTGAAACTGAAACGTTAAATGTTGAATACCTATGTTCTACTCACAACCTAAAGGAATGTGCAAAATACTATTAAATCGAAATGGCCCGGAAACTATGAACTCATTGTTGATTTTGGCAAAACCAAACTAACCAGTAACTTTTGAGTATATAGGCTCCTTTGCTAAGAGCTTCAGCAAATCGCTCTCAGTTACAGTCTAATATTATTTGTTTCATGGTGGATAGCTCCTGAACGCTTAGTCAAGAATTCCTTTATCAACATATGTGCATTTAAGAACCTCAGAAATTACATAGTGAAAAAAATGGAAGTTCGATTGTACAATATGCATGCATACATACACAATAGAGATTAAAATTGACTAACGCTAATCTTTAAATAGTTTTTTTTGTTTAATACCGTCTGTATGTCTCACGTCTTTACCACTACTAATACCAAAACATTCTAATCGATTTTATGGTAGTGACTTGTTTTTCAATTAAAATTTTCTGTATGAACACACCCCACGCATATATATATATCGTGAGAGAAATTGGTTTCATCCTGAAATATTCAATACGCAAAAGTTCAGTAATAAATTCACTTTCGACTTTTAGTTTGTAGGGATTTGGTTGGTTTCAAAGTCATGGATTTAATCTCCCGCAGGGTCATAAGTACGTACTGGTTAAGAGACCCGGCTTACGATGAAACAACTACTGTTCAGTACTCCCAGGTGGTTTTTAATGGCTTTAACTGGTATCAATCCGTGATCAAACTCGAAACCAATCAACTGAACTGAATAGATGCAGCATGTGCCCAAAAATACCTAGTATATCTGTAACAGCCTCAAGTATGAGATAAGGTAGCAAGCTATAAAATCTGATGCGTGAGACAGTTTATGCTGATGACTGGTTATGTTGACCGAAAAAAGTTAGAGGTAACTTTGAGCCTCTAGCCGAGTGAAAAAAAACATCAGTTACAATAGGTGAGTACACAATGCATTCATGATGGGAAACTTAGGGAAGCCTTTGAAGTGAAGATAGGAGTGAGATAAGACTGTCTGCTATCGCTGATGATATTCCTGATTATAGTAGACGGAGCGATGGGAGTGAAAAGACAAAAATACATTCGACCGATAGGGAAGACTCCAATATATTTCGACTTCACAGATGATTTATATGTCTGATGTCACACAAACTCGAAGACTTACAGGCAAAAACCAATAAGTTGTCAGAAGAAGCAAAGACAGGACGACAGGTGAACAAACAGAAAACAGATGTAATGAATATACCTAACCAACAACAGAGCCCCAATCACTATCAATAGCAGAAATTTGAAACAGATCACTTCATTCACTTACCTAGACAGCATTGTTTGAACTACACGTAGCACGGATGAAGATGCCAAAGCCAGGATCGGCAAAACAGGACAGACCTTCATCACTCGGAAATCAGTCTTGGAATTTGCTGCATTTAGCACAAAGATTGGATTAAAATTATTAACATTAGTACCATGTCAATCAGTGCTTCTCTATGGTTCAGACACCTGGTGCATATGTTGCCAAAGGTACTTCCAAGAGGTTGCAGACTTTTATCAACAGCGGTTTTCTTCACTACATACAGATCAGATCGGTGACCAGAATGGCTCATCAACAAGGAACCTTGGTAGACAACGAATCAACCAAGAACACGTTGCCCAACAAACATGTCGAAAAAATGGAGATGTATCAGACACACGCTGAAGGGACAGCTGAATGACATCACACACCAGTCAGGCTCTCGTGTGGAGCCCCAAAGGGAAACGATAAGTCGGGTGTGAACCCTAGGGTGACACGGGGATCATGTGAGGAGGACATGAGAGTTTGTGGTCAATCGTGGAACCAGTTGAAGACAACCCCAGAAAACATGATGGAATGGGGATGGATTATTGAAGCCATGTTACACTCGTAACCTAAGGGAATAATAATAATACATGGTAGACTTACCCCCGAATTCTCCCCGACCAATTCGATCACCCAACACAATATCCTTGCGAAAGATGAGATAACCAGATTTCTGTAATTTACTGAGTCGTTTCCTCTGCATATCAGGAACTGGATGATGGAGTGCACAAACTAATCCACGTTTAGGTTGAGAATAAAACTACAGCAATCAAGAAAAAGTATAAAGTAAGTAAAGAAGAGTAAACAATGAATGGGAATACCAAACATATGCACACACATGCATAGTACTTAGAGACTGAGTGCAACAGTAAAGAATATATATACATATATATGCATCCCAGGTGAGTGATAATGTCTTCGCTGAGACTCCAACCCAGCAACCATCACTCCTAACGCCAAAGCGTTATATCCATTAGGCCACTAGGGCCACGACACCGTGCTTTTATGCAACAGGTGTCAATTGTCATTGTTTTTTATTTTCTATTTGTCAACATAAGTCGAACGTTTTTGTTTGAAGTAATCAGTCAACAATTAATTAAAACATACGATAACTGATACCCCCTGCACAGGAGATTACTCTTGCGGCCCAAGAGGTTTAATGAATACCACTTTGGCGTCTCAAACTATGGGTCCTTGGTTCGAATTCCAGTGGAGACAATACCACTCACTTGCAATACAGGTGCATCCAAATGACGAGTCCTAAATAGGACGAAACGCACGTCCTGGGTTATACCGCTGCTGACTATTCACCAAGTCACTAGAATATTAAATACTTGATTAAAAATAATCGATGAGCTCATTTCTGTATGATACTTGATTTTCTCTATCGATAAACACCTTACAATGAATAAATGAAAGCTTAAATGAAGACTTCAAAAGGAATGAATAACAGCTAAACGTCAGTAATTGAATTTTATGATTTACTATTAAGTAACGATCACGAAAGCTAATAACTAGTTTATTTTTTTAGATAATTCATGTAACGCGTGATCGTAACACTGAAAACATCAATTCAGAAATTCTACTCAAGTGCGAGGAGCATTCACTCGATAAGTCTTCGAATGCACACAGTGTTTAGTGTTACATAGCTAGTCAATAATACGACCCCGTGAGTTCAAGAACAACTTTTGTAAGACTAAAACGCATAATATATTAAAGGGACGCAATTGTTGTATCTCTTAAGGAGTGTAATTAAAACTATGATTAACCACATAGATTAACCATCAGAGACATCACAGAATAAATTGTGCCATTTTAAATTCATTAAGCCAACAAGTAAACAATCAAACGTTGCAAAAGAAGCAGTATTCATTTCTACAAACACACGCACAGGACACTACCACCTATAAGGAGAAGAATCCGACAGTTATTTTAAAGCAAAAGTTAAACTCAGCAGCTTCAGAACATACTCAACGTCTAATCTCATTATTACTAACTACACCACTTAGAAATCAGTTACTCAAAATAGACTCCCCATATACCACACTCTGAGACACTCTCAATGTGTAAAGACTAGTAGTACTATCCAGTTGTCGAGTTGGAAGTAGGTGCAGTAAGATCCAAATCCACCGCCTATTCCCTGAAAGTCAAGTACTGAGGTCAATCGGCCGCATCTCCACCTTTAATGTTTATGTCCCATTACCGGAAAAGTAGGACGCAGCTGAGTGCTGCACAGTGCATGTGTACTTTGATGGGTATCCAAATATCGTGCCACCGTTAAAAGTGTCACAAGTTGGGAGATGCCTGGTGACTCTTTCGTGTCTGTGTAAAGATTTCACCAGAAACTTGTTAATTAAGGCTGATACGACTTCTAAAATAGGTGAACCTATCGATACATTCAATTAATACCCTATGTTCAAATTACGAGTGCTTTGATTAGTACAATATATTTTTGTCGACAGTCTCTTTATAGCCAAACATTCCCGCAGGACTTCTCGATCCGTGGAGTCGTATGCCACAACTTGATGAAGAAATATTCTGAAGACTGAATTTCTGTATAACGCGTATATCCAATTCTCTTTTAGAACGAAGTACAAGATTACCTTCGCCACATATGATACTTCACACTTAACTTGATATCAACCAAATCCCCACAAACCCAGTATTCGGAAAACAAAAGCACTCCAACAATATGTTTCCGCACATGGAATACAGAAATGATCAACCAAGATTCAAAATATCATAAATTGTAAAGTTGCTTACCTGAACAAGTTCTTGAAGACTTGAAAACCAATCAGTTTCATCCAGTGTGTAATGAATCTTGCTACAAATTGAAGACGTTGTCGAATACTCAAAATGTTGCTTGGGATGAACAGATTTAAAAGGTCTACGTATGATTCTATAGTGTTGTACATTGGTTGGAACATCTGTAGACAATGCCGTAGAATTCTCATGTTCATTGACATCAGAGCTTTCAGCCATACATGGAGGTCCAACTACACAAAGAGTTAGATCTCCAGTATATAAATCCGATTCACGAATTAAGAAGCTTCCAATGGGACTGCCACATAGTAAACTTTCTGATTCTGCCCGGGAAATTCTTCCATGATACCAACTAGGCAAAAAATAGGTTAATTTTTACAACTATGGGGAGCTAGATAAAAATTGGTTATTATCATATGCCATTTAGTTCTAGACATACAACAATGGAACGAAAAATTCCGATTTAACTGGCGAACAAATGGAAAGTTGTACTGCAGGAAAATAGTAGGAGTGAAATTATATTTTGGAAAAATTAGGAAGTCACATGAGCACCTTGATATGACTGTGGGCAACAAATTACTTGAAACGTCATCCAGTTAGTTACACTATATCACTGGGTGTCACATCAATGAAACTTATATGGAATTATACCCTACCATAGTAACTTGATTCCGCCCTTACAATAAGTTGACACCATTAGTTTTGGATTATAGCCTGTTCATTATAACTAATCTCTATCTAGTTCAAACTCAAAAACCTCCTGTTTAGCATAAAGAACCCACTTCCAATCAAAACACTCAGTTCACTGCATTTAACACCAGCAGACAAAACTCAGTGTCACACTACTTAATCTCATCACCTTTTCCTCTTCTACATGCACCACTTTTTGAAGTGGTTGTGTTCTTTGAGTCGGATGGTTCAACAACAAAGCTGTCACTACCTTCCCAAACTTCTTGAGCCTACTTCAATGTGAAGTGGGCTTATTGAGTTCTCCATGAATAATATAGCTACTTCTTATTTCATCAACTAAACGAAAAGTGCTGACAATTCAAACCAGTGAAACGTCAAAGCTGATCTTTTGAAACCGTGTGGCTTCACTGGTTGAAAATTGTAGCCACTTAGAGTATAGTCGTATTGTGTATACAAGACAGAGAAAGCTTATTTAGCTGATGCCACCTTGTTGTGATAGGTGAAATTCACGAGATTCTACAGCTAACACTAGTGGACTCGCTGATGTATATGGATGTTATTAAAATTCGAGGTATAAGATTGATTGTCTGACTCCCAATGGACAGTCGTCTGTATGCTATCCAGATACATCGACCATAGATGTTTGCATTCTGTTTACCGTGTTATTTGCTACAATGTAATGAGTGATACCGAGGTTAAGTGTAGAACACATGGGAACGAGGCAAAATTAATCGATAACATTCTGAAGATGAACTGGCTCAGACAGATACGAGACGCGTGGAGCCTGCCTTCCTCAATGAGCAATATCAGCTGACATAATTAGATGGGAAGAGTTAAAAGTGGTCATATCGAGACCTGAAGTCAATCCACGAAGCAGTTGATTGTAAGTTTTGGTCATGTAGGAAGTTGTAGGTTATCTAGCTGGGATCACCTGAATACTAAAAGTCAATGGTTTTAAAATCCTGTCCACACAACATAATATCGTCTGCAGTGGCACGGGTATGTTTAAACGAACCGAATCTCTGTATTTCGAAAATCAGATTCAGATTCAGATACATGTCTCTTAAAGAAGATATCTTGATAAAAACAGATAGTGAGGATCAAAACGATTAAAAGAGGGCAAGAGTTGTTCATATCGAATTACCAGTGATTCTGGATGCTATCCAGGGAGTCATTTTTACGTTGTACATAATTTAGAGGAATAAGTCCAGTTTCTCCCAAAGTATTTTTCGCATGAGCCCAATTAGGATCCTTCACGCAAAGGCAGATGTTAATTGTGCTCCACAATAAGAAATTACCTTTCCAATATTAATTATCTCCAGTGTATCATTTTTACGAAAAGGCAAATCCTCATTTTTATCTTTTTTAAAGGTATAATTCGCTTTCACGAGGTCTCCAGCTTTAAAGGTACATTCCATCACACAGTCAAGTTTCATAGTTTACAATGGTATCCATAAAAGTCATTGTTTACACGGCTTATCTTCAGAGACCTCTGACTATTAAATAGGAACGCAAGTATTTGAAAATATGCGAAACTTTCAATATCCAATATCGTTTTTACGAGTTAGTATAAGCCAGTTTGATTTATTGTGCTCGCTTCGTGATTTTAAGGTATCGGTTCCCGATCTTCGGTAAACTTCTACGTAGCTCGTCCCACCACTCGACTGTCGTAGCTTTGGTTGACTCCAAAAGGAGTAGTGCTGGGATTAATTATGTGCCATTATAAATTATATAAATTAATCCCAGCGTGTTAAGAAAATCAAAACAAGATTTTTCCGAATGTTTCACCGTGTAAGCCACAGCTTCTTCATCAGATTTATTCGGATTATAATTAATCATCAAAATATATAGTCAAAAATGTTTACATAAAATGAAGTCAGTTTGTTTGAAGGTCATTAGTCCATGGACATTTTTTACCAATAGAAATATGTAAGCAGTCATCACATATATTTGTAATGACTAATGTCAAATTGTTGTTGTGTTCACTCTTCTATAGTTGATTTGTAAAGATTAGATTTGTATGTGTGTGTATGTATGTTATTTGTCATATGGAAAATACGTGATAAACGTGTGATAAACGTGTCACTACATGTTTTAAAGGTCATGGAGGCTTATAGAGTGTTTGTTGTTTTTTCATTTGTCTTGCTTCATAAGAGTTTGCCATATAGGAGGTAATTCTATACCTTCTTTCCTATTCACTGCATTTGATGTGGTTAAAATGTGTAAGGCTTCCGAAGTCAATCTCTCTTTATGTGAATGATATCCTCTTCCAAGAATTTCGACACTGTCAAAATCAATCCTATGTCCGCTGTCTATCGCATGCATTGCTATGGCCGATCTTTTTTCTAGACTTTTTAATTCTACTTCATTTCTAGGTGAATGAACATAGACTTTGCTCGAAACGTCCACCCTCGAAGATTGGAGAAAGGAAGGCTCTTTTCCACTCCCTTGGCAGTGTCACAGAATCCATTGAGTGTTGGAACAAGTTGCACAGGGGTCTACAGAGAGCTTCGGCGCACCGTTTCAGAACAGATGACCTGACGTCACAACCTGGGGATTTCCCAGGTGTGAGTCACTGTGGTTTCCTTAGTACTATTACCGGATTTATTTGGAGAGTAGCCACTAGGTCTTCCTCCTGTGAAATAGTAGTGCCACCATTCTGGTCCGTAACTGTAATATCCACACTGCTGCTTAGCTGTTTGGTGAAGGCTGAACTGAATGCTTCAGCCATCTCCAGACCAGCGAGCTATTGACCGTTTGGACCTACTAGGGTGCATGCCCCATGGTTTGTCGGTTTTCTCCGACATGAATCGAAACAAGTTTTTGGGGTTTGCTAGGAGTTTTTTAGCAAGGTTAGCCTGGAATGACCTGTCACTCCTGACTCTTGCATTGCACTGGTTGCTGAGTTCGAAGTATGCATCTTGGTCGGTCTCACTCTTAGATACGCGCCACGTAGACCAAGCCCTCCGCCTTGCTTGCAGAATACGTCGCGTGCCTCTCTTCAACCACGATGTCTTTCTTTTGGTCTGTGTTGTGACTAAAAAGACGATATCCGAGATTGCTATATGAATAATCTTTTTTACCACTTCCTAGTGTTCATCCACAGATAGGTCGTCCCATGCTAAGGACCAGTCTGCGTCGGACAAGAGCCTCCGCATTTCAGCATAGTCAGCCTTGCTGTAACACAGGCTTGGTCGCGTAACATCCCACTGCAAACGCTCACGAAGAACAAGACCGAAACCTATGACTGAATGGTCACTACTTCCTAGAGGATTCATGATCTGGACCTTTTCGACGAGTAGTTGGTCACTAGTTAGAATATAGTCTAGTTTTGATGACTTTCCACTATGGCCCCATCTAGTGTCGTCTCCAACATTCTCAGTCAGTCCCGTGTTTCGAATAGTTTGCAGTAGGTTTCGGCCAAATTTTCTCCTAGCATACCCCGAGCCAAGGTTCAGTGATGGGGCATTGAAATCTCCAGCTATGGGGATTTGGTCGTAGCCCAAATCTCGTATTCCTGTGGTAGTGCTGAGCAGTAGCTGATTGTACTCTGTCCCACAGGTGGGAGATCGGTAGATGCCACCCAGTAAGTGCTTGGTGTGGCCTACGGTGAAGTGGCGCCATATGGAGTCTGAGAGTTCAATAAGTGATGGGTCCGTCTCGCGCACACATTTAAGTTGCCTTTCAAAGTATATAGCAACTCCCCCTCCTTCCTCATTATCCCTGTCTCTCCTGACCAGAACCATGTCACCTACACTGATTTCATTGTCAGCGATAGTTGGGTTTAGCCACGTTTCAGTGAGAATGATTATTTTCAGTTGTAGGTGTGCATGGAGATTTCGGAGTTCACCTACTTTTCCCCTCAGCTTACTTACATTGCCAAATAGGCAGCTGACAGTGAGTCTAACAACCTCAGAGTGTTGTGGGGTAATTGACTTGAAACTGTCTGCTGGTGTAGCACTTAATATTGGGACTGGTTAGCCGATTCCGATAGAACCGACCCGTTGTAGTTTTTTCCATGGATTTAGGCAGGACACTTGGATGGCACAGACTGTTATTCTCATAACTGCATCGCTCTAGTGTCGCTGAAGCCTGGGACGCTTTGAAGCCTCAGTTTGCTGCCTCCTTATGGTTCGGGGTCTGCTTTCGCAGCATTGGATGTGTCCTCCCATTTTTCCCTTGGTCTCATACCACCGTTGAAGGGCTATGTACAACAGCTCCGGGGAGTTGAATATGACACTTAGCAGCTTTGGAGAGCTAACCAGTGTTAGATGAGCGGGGCGAGGTAGTCGGAAAATGGAGATGGCTCCAGACACTCCAAGGACCATCTGAGATGACAGCCATCTCCATTGCTGTACGTCGTGCATGTTTTCCACAAGCACTGCCGGTTTCCAGCTCCGGAACACCGTGTACCGCCATAGAGATTGAAGGCATCAGTTCCGGTGACTCCCTCGCCATTTGTCCAATAGCCCATGGTCTGTCTTGCCTCACTCTCATGTTCCTTCCATGCTTGGTACCTGAGCCATTAATAGTACTTCTTCGGCCTCTTCGGTAGAGTCCAGTGTAACCCTTAATGGGAGTGGCTTACCCTGGGGCGTGTGAACACCCCTGTACAGTCTGCACAATTTTTCTGAACTAATGTTCAGACCTAATATATTGCACAGGCTGAACCACTGTTCCTGATCAAAAACAGGGCCCGTTGTTCAAGCAAGCTATTCTTGCTCACAGGTACGTTAAAGAGGATAAGAGAGTTGGACCGACTAACCTCAGACGTAGGTTTGGCCATCGGCTCCTTGTATTCCTTTGCATCATCAGCAACATTAGGCTTCATCGGTATCTGGCCAACCTTTTTTGTGTTGCCAAGCTTGCTAGTGGATGCAAGTGGTGCCTTTTTAATTATGTCTTCCCCCGATGTGTATGCAACCTTGCGAATCTTCACCTTGTGAAAATTGGCATTTCCAGTCAGTAGTACTGGTGTGTCCTTCTTAATGTCTTTGCCAAGTTTTGGCAGTGTGATGCTAGCAGGTGGGGAGCTGCATGAGACTGTGTTGGGACACAAGAGCGGCGTGTTGTTTCTGCTAACCGCAGACACGTAGTAATAACCTGGTCACCTCCTCTAGCTTAGATTTACCTAAAAAGGATCGTGCGCAGCAACAGTCACCTAGTGCTGAAACTAGCATTCAGCAGACTACACAACAACCACGCTTGCAAATGGAACTAGAAACTGATTTAGATACCAGTACCCCTGTAAATAAAGCCTCATCGAAAGATGTTAAAATAGCTAGAACTTCTGCAAGTTGTTCTAAGAAGTTTTCCCCCAAGCGTAGAAACCTCACCACGATGAACAAATTTCGCAGGGTTGAGACTAATGATGGGGAAGAATACTTTGTATTCAATAAGCCTGCTGAGAGTAAGAATGTCAACAAACCATCACTTGTTACGAAAAACTCCTCTCGAAACACAAGTATGTTTGGAGGTTTTAAGCATGCTCCACCTTATAGAAAGTCAGGCTCCAAGACTCCTAAAGTCTTGCAGCCAAAGCACCTTCCCTCACAATTCCCTATAAGTTATAAAACCAACACGAAGGTGTGTACCGGTATGACGAATAGCAGTTGGATGGGTAGACCTATTGATGCTATGCGTTTTAACCGTCAACCCAGGCACAACCTCTACTACCCCTATAACCAGGAACACATGGTAAATTTTCCAGGTGTCCCGAACCACTGGTACGGCCCATGGCACCTAGGACCACCTCATTGCACTCCAACCCCGATGTACAGACACCCAGTCCGACCCCCCTTTCATTCATAAACTCTTGCGGTGCTGACGCACAAATAGATTTAGGTTATGGTGACATTTTAAGCCAGTTTGTAGTATCCCGTGACTTATTCACGATATTGCTAATTAATGCACGTTCCTTAATCAATAAGATATCTGAACTAAGGACATTATTATTAGTCGCCAAGCCTACTGTAGCTCTGATTACTGAATCATGGTGCTCATCCTCTGTACTTGATGTGCATATAGGTATCGATGATTACACTGTACACCGTGCAAACAGAGATTGCAAGCGTGGTGGAGGATGTCTCATACATATACATAACTCATTTGTAGTCAGTAAGGTGGAAGATGAAATAATGAATAATGTACCTGACTCACTCTGGGTTGTCTTACATGGAGATAAGTACAAACTTCTCATAGGCTGTGTTTATCGAGCACCAAGCGCAACAAAAGAAACTGATGCGTTATTAGCTAAATCATTTGCACACGCCTCCTCGTTTAGTGCTAATTACAAAATAATTGCAGGGGACTTCAATCTTCCAGAAGTCAATTGGTTAAGTAGTTCCGGCCCCCAACGCTTCGACGAATTACTTGCCACTATCAACTGTTATGGATGGCAACAACACGTCCAGACACCTACTCGTGGTGACAACATGTTGGACCTTGTTTTTTGTCATGACACAATCCCAGTCTCCACCTATGTTGGTAATAGATTTTCCAGTAGTGACCATAGAATGGTACTCTGCTCTCTGC